AAAAAAAAAAAAAGAATATTTTCTTTTGTAGTTATTTCTTAAAGCCAACAAGAAGAAAATCTGACAAAGCTCTTTATAAAGAAATGATAACTTGCACATTATCCACAGTCATTTTCAAGCATGAACTTAGCAAAACAAGATCTCTAAAGAATAGATATTAAATCTTTCTGCAAATATCCTTAACTTACTTTATTCCACTGAGATGCATAATGCTTAAGACAATGGTTGCTTTTATAAAGAAGAGAATAAAGAAATCCACCATCTCTGCCATAAATCTGTGGGCCAAGGATGGTATAACATACTCTCTCCCTATAATTAAGAAAAAGGAATAAAGAAAAAAAGTTAGGAAAAGTAATTTCACATAGGCTTTAGAACATAACCTAAGCTAAAAAAAAGAAAAAACCCAAACCCAGTGCTGTTGAGTTGGATCCAACTCATAGTGACCCCTCCTTGGGTTTCCAAGGTGATATCACTACAGTAGTCAATTGCCCAACCTTCCTTCCCAGGAGTGGCTGGTGGGTTTGAACCACCAGCCTTCTGGTTAGCAGTCAAATGCCTTAGACACTATGTCACCAGAGCTCCCAAGCTAGGAAACTAAGGGGAAATACAGTCAAGGTTACAACTTGTTAACAAAATAAAAAAGTTATAACCTTGCAACAATTACTGGTATTGATTTCATCAAAAGTACATATTATTAACATATAGTAACACTACTATTTACTGAACTGTTAAAGTTTGCTTTCACTACCTTAATGTATAAAAAGTTATTTCACAGATAAATTTGTTAATTAGGGTACTCGGTGCATTTCATGAATGAGGAGAATCCAGCTGACCACAAGCCTATGACACAAAATTAAACATTTTTTAGTAAAAATCAAGGTTAAGTATGGACAATAGGCATAAAGTAAATCTCTGTGTTCCTCATTTTTTTCCCTCTATTCATTTAGTTTGTTTGTTTTCCATATAATCAATCTAATGATTATCAATCTATCAGCCTAAATTCTGACTGGGATACAAATTTAGGCATCAACTAGTTCCTGTCTCACATACCTGTGCCTGAATAAAATAAAAAGTTGTATGGCTGTAATTCAAAGTATTCTAATTCTCATACAGAAGTAATCAATATGACAGAATGCAAGACTACACCAGGGCTTCACTCCATGTGTATTAATGTAAATTTCATATTCATTCAGTTCCACTATCCTAAGACAGTATTGGATGTTTGTGTTATTTCTGGCATGACCAATCAAGTCCTACCCAAAGTGGGTTTGCCATCTGAGAGTTAAGCTTGGGATCTCAGTATCTAGAGCATGGAAATAGAAGACGATACTTTAGAAGAAAACCCAGTATGGTCTGAGGAGAAAATGCAGGTAGCAAAGACTTCTTTGCACGTGAGAATTACTAGTCCCATGAGGAAAGGAATCAATTGAGTCCCAAGTCTAAAGGAAGAAGAAACTGTATTGCCTCGTTGTACGTTTTGGGGATTTAAGGCCTGGACAAGCGGTAACTGATATGCTCGGAGACCACTAACAGGAGTAGCAGCAGCAGTTACTGAACTACAAAAAAAAACCGTGCCCACCTTACCCCCGATGATGGCCTGGAGACCCCTTCTCTGCCCAACTTCTACCTCGCGCTTCTCACCTGCCTGCCTCCCGGTCTCGCTCGGGGTTCGCGAGGAGGCAGCGGGTCCTACCCTCGTCACTGGGGCTGCCCTGACGGATCCTTGCACATGAGGAGCCCGAGGTCCCAGGCCGGCGACTGGAGCAGGGGTGGCGATACCCGCAGCAGCTCCCGGGTCAGGCCCGGTGGCAGCCGCGCTCAAGAAGTAAAAGGGATTGTAATAGCCCAGGTGGGGGGGCGGTGGCGCCGCGGCCTGGGAAGCGGCTCCAGCGCCAGCCGTCGGATACGTTGGTGGGGGCACCTGGGGGCTGCAGTAGGCGGGGAAGGCAGCGAGGCCACTGTGCCAGGTGAGGTAGCCGCAATAGGACTGCCACAGCCACTCGTGCACCTGCCGGGAGTACTCGCAGGCGCTCAGGCGCGCTGGCCTCTCCCGCGGAGCCGCGGCCTCCAGCGTTTCGCAACCTGTCGATGCCTGCAGCTCGACACCAGAACCAGAGGCTGCCTCCCCGGGATCGCGCGGCGGCTCCGACTCCTCCGCAGCGGCCGCAGCGAGCGCGAGGCCCGGGCTTGGTGGCTTGCCCAGGGCCTGGGGTTCAGTTTGCAACCCGGCCTGGGGGCGTGGAGTGGTGACAGCGGGAGAGCCTCTCAGGGAAGAGCCGGGATCATGGTCCCCTCCGCTTCCGTCTTGTCCGGGAGGGCTGCCTTGGGCTTCCTCCGGCCCCTCTGCCATCGTCGCTCAGCAGCACCCTCCGCGGTAACTGTCGCTGCGCAGTCTCTCTCCCCCACTCGCCCCTCCCCAACGGTGCCGTCGCCACCGCAGCAGCCACAGACGTCACAATTCTCCACCGGAAGCGGAAATCCCGCCCCTTAAGAGTTTCGCCAGCTGCCAGACGGATAGGGGTGGGTGGCTGAGGGGTGTAAAGACGTAGAGGAGTAGCTAGCTTTGGAGGCTAGCGACCCGTCACCTGGGTGTCACTGACCGGTTGTTGGGCCAGGATTGCTAACTGCTGTCTCTGGTTTTAAGAAAGACCAGGGCCCGAGGCCTCTACAGATAATCCTATGAGAAATGGACCCAGCCTACCCCGGGAGAGAGGATTTAATAAGAATTGCACCTTCTCTGATCCTGTCCTGTGTCTGTAAAAGCTTTGCTTTGCTGTGTATACAAGCCTACTGCTATAGCAAAAAAAAAAAAAAAAAAGTGCCTTTCCTTATATCCGTGGTCTCAACCTAAGGTGCTTTTTTCTTTATTTTGTGTTATAAAGGCTTTGTTCATATCCCAGGGCTTTGGTGACTTTTGAATACTTGAGCCCATACGATGTTCTCTTTCTCTGAATTCTGTGTAGCACCTCACATATTTATATTTTAATATGCTTTCCTCTGTCATTAATTTGATTATAAGTCTCTGAATGGTAAGAATATGTGTGTGAATCCCCAGTACATATAGAAGTCTTACAGGGTCTAAGTAAACCAAAACCTAATCTTTGGTGGTGGAGTTCTGACTCGTCTACAGGACAGACTAGAGCTGCCTCATAGGGTTTCCAAGGCTGTCATCTTTATGGAAGTAGACTTCTACATCTTTGTCCCACGGAGCAGCTGGTGGGTTCAAACCTCCACACTTTCAGATAGTAGCTGAGTGTCTAACCACTGTGCTAAATATTTGGGGAATATTGACACCCACAATTATTCTTGACATTGCTCTAGGATATATAAAAGTAAAAGGTATAACTTTTGCCCTTAAACTAATGATCTGGTTAAGGAAAAGGACTTCCATGAAACACTTGAAGACCTATTCAAGACAATATGAGCATTCAAAATAAGAGAAAGATAATGGAAACCAAAACCCACTGTGGAGTCAGATCTGACTCATCAAACCCTCCTTGGGTTTTCCAGGCAGTATCATTGCAGAATTAGGTTGCCCAACCTTTCTTCTGAGGAGGGAATGGTGGATTTGAACCGCCACCCTTCTGGTTAGCAGTCAAGTGCCTTAGGCACTATGCTACCAGAGCTCAAAAGACCATGGTTGCCTATAATTGGTCTAGAAAGGTACTCGTTACAAATTTAGTTTAAAAAATCTGCTAAGAGAAAGTTGTAACATTTAAACAAACAAGGTTCCAAGTTAGAATGAGAAAGGCAGAAGAAACATGAACAAAAAAATTAATATGGCATGAAGTGAGTGTGAAAGATTGTGACTATTGAAGACTTGGACCTTGTATTGAATACCACTGATTATGTGGCATGCTACACAATGCCACCTGCATGTTGTTAGGTGCCGTTGAGTTGCTTTCAACTCGTAGTGACCCTACGTCCAACAGAACAAAACACTGCCCAAAACACTGCAGCATCCTCACAATCATTACCAGGCTTGAGCTGGAGCTCAAGAGCACAGCTAGAGCCACTGTGTCAATCCATCACGTTGAAGCTCTTCCTTTTTTTGGCGACCCTCTACTGTACCAAGCATGATACCCTGCTCCAGGGACTTGTCCCTCTGACATGACCAAAGTATGAGAGACAAAGTCTGGCCATTCTGACTTCTAAGGAATATTCTAGTTGTACTTCCTCCAAGACAGATTTCTTCATTCTTCTTGCAGTCTTTAATACATTCAATATTCTTCACCAATACCACAATTCAAATGCAGCAATTCTGAAGTCTTTCTTATTCATTGTCCTGCTCACACATGTGTATATCAGGCCATTAAAAATGACTATGGTTTGGGTCACCTGAATTTAGAGACCATTTGAAGAGTACACTTGAGGCATTGAGCACCAGTGACCAAAAACTAGATGAGTTGTGGGATAATATCAAACACATCATACATGAAGAAAGCAAAAGATCATTAGAAAGAGAGGAAAGAGAAGACCAAAGTGGATGTCAGAAGACGCTCTGAAAATTTTTCTTGAACAGAGAGTGAGATGGAGAGAAGGTGGCAGGACTCCTAAAGGGTTAAAAGAGAGTCTAAAGTTATGAAATTACCCAAGCCTCACAGGTGTCACCAAAGACTGACACACATCCTGGAACACAGAATACAGAAGTAACCAGCAGCCTACCTAATTCCATGCTTTACTTTCTTGCAAGATCTTTTGCAGGTGTTTTGCAGGCAACCTAGTTTTCAGCTCTCCAAGCTTATGCATATCACTGCAAGAAAACCACTATATGACCTTCCTGGGGTGACAGTATTGAGGCAAGGACACTGACCGGGAATCAAACCGGTGCTCCAAGGGATAGCATATGCACGACATTCCATAATAAGTCATGTCAAGTATTCTGGTAGCCTTTGCAACTCATGTCAAATAGTCTGGCAGCATTTGCAACTTCTGGACAGGCACCTGATTCCCATAGTGCCACCCCTTTCTAGGAAACTATCACCCCTTCTTAGAAAATTCCCACCTATTTCACAACCCTTCAACACCCCAGTAACTTTTTGCTCAAGGAGACAAATGCCAGCACTGCTAGATCCCTCTGTCTCTGTTTGCAAGCTACTTTCTGATTAATAAAGCTCTGTTCATGTGGAAAGCCTGAACTTCTCCTGGTCATTGTTGGTTAATAAGTAAAGTAAATGTGTTGAATTTCATAACTAAAAAGTTCAGGAATCATTTTGCTTTCAAGGATATCTGGTTCCATGTAATCAAACAATAGCTTCAGGAAGTGTCTTTTTCTCTCTTTTGACTCTGCTTTTGAAATTGGTAAAATTTTGTTTCATTGGTAGGAAACCTAATTCAATCTGGTTTAAGCAATCTCACTCTCTCCTTTATTTATTTATTTTTGCCTTATGTAACCAACAAGATCAGAGTTTCTAGAAAATATGAAAACATTCAACAGTACATTTAATAGGTGTTCCAAAAGAGAGATTAATGGAGAGGCAAAATTCAAAGGAATAATGGCCAATAATTTTCTAGAACTGAAGAAAGAGGACTCTGGATTGAGGAAATACATCAAATCCTGAGAAAATAACTTAATATACATCATGATGAGTTAAAGTAAAGAGAGTATCTTAATAGCAGACTTAAAACATTGACTACAAAGAAATTACATTTAGACTAGAGTCCACATTTACAAAAGTAAAATTATTACATGTTGACTACAGTACAATATATAGTGTCTGAGGGCAAATTACTGACAATCTAGAAAGTTATAAACAAAAAAAACCATCCTTTAAGAATGAGGATGAGATGCAATTTGGCACTGTCAATCCTAACAACATTTTAATCAACCCTAGTCCCTTCACACTTTGCTAAAGGTTGAAATCTCTGGTTGTTGTTAGGTGCTGTCGAGTCATATCCGACTCATAATTACCCTACATACAATAGAACGAAATCCTGCCTGGTCCTGCGTCATCCTCACAATCCTTTCTATGTTTGAGCCCTTCATTGCAGCCACTGTGTCAATCCATCTCATTGAGGGTCTTCCCCTTTTTGGTCCCTTCTGATAACATGACCAAAGTAGGTGAGATAAGTCTGGCCATTCTGGTTTCTAAGGAGCATTCCAGCTGCACTTCTTCCAGAAAAGGTTTGCTCGTGCTTCCAGCAGTCTCTGGTATTTTGAGTATGGCTCACCAACACAATTCAAAGGCACCATCTCTTCTTTGGTCTTCCTTATTCATTGTTCAGCTTTTACATGCATATGAGGCAATTGAAAATACCATGACTAGTGTTAGGCACACCTTAGTCTTCAAAGTGCCATCTTTGCTCCTGAGCACTTTAAAGAGATCTCTTGCAGCAGGTTTGCCCAGGGCAATATGACATCTTGTTTCTTGACTGCTGGTTCCATGGGTGTTGATTGTAAATCCATGTAAAACGAAATCCATGACAATTCAATATTTTCCCCATTTATTCTGATATTGCTTATAGGTCCAGTTGTGAGGATTTTTATTTTCTTTATGTTAAGGTGTAATTGCTACTGAAGACTGTAGTCTTTGATCTTCATCAGTAAGTACTTCAAGTCATCTTCACTTTCAGTCAGTGAAGTTGTGTCATCTGCATATTGCAGTTTGTTAATGGTTTTTCCTCCAATCCTGATGCCATGTTCTTCATATAGTCCATCTTCGTGGATTATTTGCTTAGCATACAGATTGAATAGGTGTGGTGAAAGGAAACAACCTTGATGCACACCCTTCCTGATTTTAAACTATACAGTAGCCCCCTGTTCTATTTGAATGACAGCCTCTTGGTCTATGTACAGGCTCCTCATGAGCACAATTAAGTGTTCTGCAATTCTCATTCTTCACAATGTTATACATAATTTGTTATAATCTACACAGGTGAGTGCCCTTGCACAGTCAATAAAACACAGGTAAACATTTTTCCTGGTATTCTTCGCTTTCAGCCAAGATCCATCTGACATCAGCAGTGATATCCTTTGTTCCATGACCTCTTATGAATCCAGCTTGAAATTCTGGAAGTTCACTGTCAATATACTACTGCAACTGTTTTTGAATTATCTTCAGCAAGATTTTACTTGTGTGTGATATTAATGATATTATTTGATAGTTTCCGTATTCTGTTGGATCACCTTTCTTTGGAATGAGCACAAATATCTATTCTTTCCAGTTGGTTGGCCAGATAACCCCACCCTTCTTCCCACTCTGTCTTAGTCTGGGAGCTGCACTAAAACCTGTCCACCCTGCTGGCGACCCTACTGGTATTTTAAATCCTGGTGGCATAGCCTCTAGCCTTACAGCAACACTCAAGCCACCTCAGAACAACAAACTGACAGAGGAGTAGTGGAAACCTCAG